AGTGTGATAGGTTCTTTCTTGTAGGCTGATTTTACCTTTGATAAGGAGGCATACATATAGGAGCCCTGGTAGCGCAGTGGTTAAGAGCTCAGCTGCTAACCAAAAAGTCAGCAGTTCGAATCCTTGGAAACTCTATGGGGCAGTTCTGCTCTGTCCTATACAGTCGCTATGAATTGGAATCGACTTGACGGCAATGGGTATAATGGATAAGGAGTCATATTATAGGAGTCAGTTGAGACTGTTGTGGTGTATCTTGCCTGATTCGGTTCAAGAAATAACTTATCAACAAACAAGATTAAATCTAGATTTCTAGGGGGATTTCTAATAATCTGAGACATAGTCAGTGCTCAGGCAGAGGCTAGACTATCATGGATTTCCCCTTCCTTGGGTAATGGGAAAAAAGTAGTAGGGTTTTTAAGAAAGTATTGCAGCACTGAATGCTTTGGGGAGAGAGTAATAAAAATTCATAGGAGGTAAGCCTTTTTGCTTAGAAATGTGTTTTCAGTAAGCAACAAGGATTGCCAGCATTAGGAACCATCAAGTTTAAACAAGATCCTTAAACCAAGTCAGTAGAAACCTCTACTAGTTTGGCTGCTGGTAACATTGCCCTTTGATAATGTCTTAGTGATCTAGTGCTGTTATAATAGAAATACCGTAAGTGGATGGCTTTAACAAAGAAAACTTTATTCTCTCACAGTTTAGGAGGCTAGAAGTCCAAATTCAGGGTGCCAGCATTAGGGGAAGACCTTCTTTCTCCATCAGTTCTGGGGAAAGGTCCTTGTCATCAATCTTCCTCTGGTCTAAGAGCTTCTCAGTGCAGAAACTTCAGGTCCAAAGGATGTGCTCTGTTCCCGGTGCTGCTTTCTTGGTGGTATGAGGTCCCCCTTTCTCTCTGTTCGCTTCTGTCTTTTATATCTCAAAAGAGATTGACTTAAGACACAACCTAATCTTGTATATTGAGTCCTGCCTCATTAACATAACTGCTACTAATCCCACCTCATTAACATCACAGACATAGGATTTACAACACATAGGAAAATTACATCAGATGACAAAATGGTGGACAACCACACGATGCTGATAATCATGGCCTAACCAAGTTGACACACATTTTTTGTGTGGACACAATTTAATCCATAACAGATAAGGAGCAGTCTTTTGCCACTGGAAAGACTGTAGTAGGCAACTGGACTCTGAGTCAGAATAACAAGGGCTTGTTTACATTGCTAAGGTACAAATAGGGAGGAAGTTTTATGATAATTAGAATGCCTGGAGTGGGGGAGCTATTGGATAGTTAAGTTATTTTTAAATAGAAAAAAAATCCCTGTTCATGTTTAAGTTCCTAAGGAAAAAGTTCAATTATTGAGGTGTGATGATTTCAGAGGGCTGGTAACCCAATGTCTGCAGTAGCCAATGAAACCCAGAAAATTTCTTAATTTTCTTTTAGTAAGCAGCCTTTGAAAGTACTGAATGGCTTGTAATTTATGAGAAGTGATAGATATACCTCCTTGGGAAAAATCATACCCTAAATAATATACTTTGTTTTGATAAAATTCTAAACTTTCCTTGGGATCTTTGTGTTTCTTCTGAGCTAAAACAGTGAGTAGATAAATGGAGTCAGTCTTAGAACTCTCCTCATCTATAGAACATAGAAAAAAGTTGTCCACATATTGTGAAAATTAGAATCACAGGAAATTTAAGGTTCTTAAGACTTCTCAGTTAACCTCTAAGGCGTAACCATCCAGGTAAATTGTTGGCCTCCCCAGGAAAAAACAACTATATTAAATGTCTTAATTTAAAGGGACATTATAGAAAGCAGAACACATATCTATAATGGTAAATATGAAGCCTCACTGAAAATTTAATATTTGGGCTCAGCCCTACAAGGAAGTAGGGAAATAACTTATTTATGACCTTAAGATCCTGAGCAAATCTTTGCCCTCATTCACTGGATTTCTTGACTGGGAGAGAATAGTATTTAAAGACTGATATAAGGTACGATTCAGCCTCTCTCAATTAGGCTTTTAAACTATTGACTTTCGTTCTTCTTTAGCATCTAGTTTTAAAGGACATTGTATAAAGTTAGGTTGAGGTTTTGGTGAGTGGATCTGACTGAATCTTGCTGCCAATATCACTAGAACTTTTTACCCACAAAGAGATCTTCATGGAGACCTTTAATTTGCTTTGATTCATACATAAAGGTACCAGTAAGCTAATGTCCAAATTAGCTATGATCTGATTATAAATAGGAAAGTCCTCAGGGATCTCAAAAGAAAAAAAAAATCAGTGAAGAATTTAATTTTGTGATTCTATTTGCATAGTAATCCTTATCTGTTAAATTAATGAGTGTTGTCTTATGAGGGAGAAAACAATACTCCTCTGTTGAGGATCCAGGAGTGAAAGTTATAGTGTATCTGTGGATTATTAGAGACACCTACCATCTGAGTAACTCATTGACTCTGAGGGAGAGGTTATGTGATGATGGCAGTGTTTATGGTATTGATAAAAATTCACAGGATTTTCTTTTAACATTTAGAAAAATCTCTCTTTGCAAGTTTAAGGCTAAAATGGGAAATTAGGTGTTTGATTTCCCCTTGGAACAGTGTCATTGATTCACCTACTTGATTTTTTTCCCTTCATTTTCTTAGCTAGCACAGTGCAATTATTTTTCCAATGCTCTTTCTGCTTATAATATCTGTAGGTATCTTTATCACGAGGCTCCCTCCTCCAGTGCTTGATGACTAGAGTGGGAACATCTAGTTGTTTTTTTATCTTAAATCCTTCAGTTTATTCTGCTTTTGTTGCAAAGCTTTTTTTGAGATCTGGAGTTTTGGAGAACTGGAATTTCTCATCCCAGTTTTTATTCCAAATTAAATCCCCTATTTCTGGATTAAGACTGTTTACAAAAAGTTAGGGAAAGTACTTCAGGGTCTACTCCTGAATGATGTCTTAAAGTGTTAAAGAACCTATGCTTGAAGTCTCCAATGGACTCATTTTTTTTTTTCTTTCTTTGCTCGCAGGACTGTATTAGAGTCCAGTTTGTTTTCACAGGAAAAACTTTGGGGATAGTCATTGAAAGATTTTGTCCAACATCTACAGCTTTTCTAAATCTGTCTGGTTTCCTATGCAGTTTGGGATCCCCTGAGTCATTCCCAGGATCTCCCGTTCTGTCTTTCCCATTCCATTTCTTTGAATCTGAGATTTCTTCTGATGTATAAATCAATTGATACGGTTCTGGAACTGACAGCATTATTTTTTTAGATTTGCGATGAGAATTAAAAATATTTTAAAGTAATTACCAACTTTAGGAAAAACAAAAAGTTGTGAATAGAAATTTAACCATGGTATACTACATGGCTCAGCACTGAATAATATTTACATAACTATAGTAATGTAAATACCGACTATTGATTTAAGTTACAGTTTTGATAAAACTGTGTTGGATGAATAGGCGCAGGGGATGTAGGGTGATGGTCAGTTGTGTAAGAATACTGAACTTTCAACTACCATGACAGGAAGTAAAGAGATGCACTTTTAAAGTTGATAAGTCAACATATTATTTAGCAATATGGAGGCAAATAATAGAAAAATTTGTAACTGGTTGCAATCTTTATATCTAATTTTTTTAAATGATAATTATTTGATAAAAATAGAAGAAAAAATTTAAAGTCATCTTGAATTTAAAGGACAGAATACACACAACCTCCATCAAAAAGTGGGGAGGGGAGGAAAAAAAGAAATGGAATCAAATATGTGGATTTTTTCTTTAAAAAATACCCTGTGGTAGTTTTTGTTTGTTTTTAATATTTCAATGAATTTAAAAACTGTATGTTACCATGTACTTAGACGGAGCCTTGGTGGTGCAGTAGTTAAGAGCTATGGCTGCTAACCAAATGGTTGATAGTTTGCATCCACCAGGCGCACCTTGGAAACCCTATAGGGCAGTCCTACCCTGTCCTATAGGGTAGCTGTGTACTTAGATAATAAAATTGGTTTCTGAGGTAGTTTTGGAAGCTCTAAGACTATAGTCTGCTGTGTATTAGGACTGTTAATTTTAATAACTGTTGGTCAAAAGATATTTTCTTGAAGAAAAGGAAGGAGCATGAAAGAGGAAGTCAGTCCAGAGTTTAAAAATCAAAAAAGCAATGTGTTTTTATTATGAAGAAGCAACTGAAAGCCAAATTTTTGCATGTTGATTCCATGACAGTTAAAATAGTAAAATTGATTTAAAGTTACATTCCAAGAACAGAAATAATCTACTCAGTAGGTATGTTACCGGGGTCTCAGGTCTCCCTCGACTTGGCGCAGCCATAGAGACATGAAACGGGTGAAAGCAGCTTTATTTGGTTGGCCAAGCAAAGGAACACACAGGGACTCAGGTCACCAAGATAGCTCCCAGAACAATAGCTAAAACAGCTTTAATTAAGGGCAACAAAACTGAGGAAGGGTCCCGGCAGGAAAGAGCAAGGTCATTGATTGGTCTGGTTTAAAAAGGCGTTCTCAGGCCAGTTCGATCGTCTGTGCTTGCGCAGTCCAAAGCGGGGTGGCGGGGCGGGGGGGTGGTCTCTCAAGCTGGTTCTTAGGCTTGGCCCCTTCACTTCTGAAAGTCTTCCCCCAATCTTGGGCCATTAAAGTTTGGTTCCATCTGGCAGGAGAAAATTTCTGGGGTCACCCAGAAGACAGGATTGATTGTTCCGTGCATGTCAGGCCGGCCAGATCTGGTCTTAACTGGTTCTGTGGTCTGCAACCCCAGCTTCTTGTTTTTCTTACCTTGGGCCGGAAGTTGGCCGATTGCCTAAAAAACATCTGGAGAAACCAGTTAGGAGGGAAGGTGGCTCATGCTACTCTACTTACAAGGAAGTTGGGGGTTGGTAATGGTGCCCGAAGGCTGTCAGCTTCAAATATGTTTAACTTTTATTTAAATTGTGAACCTAATTAAAATTTAAAATGGAAAGAATTGCTACAATTTCCATTTTAATTTCTCATAATTTTTAAAACAGGAAACTCTTCAAAATCAAAAGGAAACATTAGCAAAGCAACACAAAGAAGCAATGGCAGTTTTTAAAAAGCAGGTAATTTCATAAGGCTAAACAAACACTACAGTTTTAAATCTTGTGTTACCTCACCTTCTGATGAATATTTTGACAAACTGGTTTCCATACTCACTGAAGACAAAAAGGAGAAAAAATGTGTAAGTTTTAAAAAATTTTAGTACTTTTGGACTAAGACTGATAGCAAAGGGTAAGGTTATAAAGTAGTAGAATGCATTAGTTAAGGAGAGAAATTGGGAAAACTTTTCTTGAAGATGGAGATGTGTTTTCATCTGTTCTAAATAATTTAAGTAACTGTGACTGGTATATGTGTTCTTGTTCTCTCTTCTCTTTGTTTCACTAGAGTATCCTAGGATCTTACCTTCTCCACATTACCCCTTTACCCAAACCAGAATTTTAACACTGATGAAAAGCTGAGATGCAAGTAGGGAGATGTCGAGGATAAGGGAAGGTGATTATCGTGGCCATATATATCAACCATCAGCCACTAAGAAAGACTTGTAGGAAAAAAACAGAGAAAAACGAAAGGAAAAGATTTTAATATGAGTTGCAACACCTTCAGTTATTTTGAATTCTGTTGTTCTTGGCTGTCTCAAATTTCTCTTCAATCACTGTTAGAAAATATTAGTTTAAAAACTTGTACTCACGGAGAGTAGCTTCTTGAAGTTTTTTCTTTATATCTATCCCACCATCACCATTTTTTCTTCTTAGTGTTTAGAAAGCAAAATGCAGGTGAAAAAATAAATCTGTATGACTTAAATCATTAGTGGGTTAGGTTATTGGTAGGTCACACCTTAGTGTGAATTTGTTTAAGCAGATGATATGCTTTCTTCTTTTTATCAGAGATTGGCCTAACCAAAGTTATGGCAGTTTTAATTGTAGAGTAAGGTAAAAGAAGCCAATTGTATAGCATAGTATTCTCTAGGAGAGAGCAAGGCTATGCCTCTGTTATCACTTAGGAACTTTGGGCGAGATAAAGATAACATATTTGGAGCACAAGGAGGAAGTGCTCTTGGATTTTTTTTTTTTTTTAAGGGTTCTTCAATATAAGTGAAGAGTATGGAAAAGGAGATGAGAGTTCCAAAGAATTTATTTTTTGACAATTTTGCCGGATATCCCCGTGTTGCTTGGAATATTTCATTACATTCTTTTGGCATGCTTACTTTAAATTCATGAAACTGTTTCTTCAGAAAGTGATACATGTTAATATTTAAGAATATAACATGGCAAGATATTTAGTCATTTAAAGAAAACTTCTGGAGGGGAAAACTAAACTTTAAAGGATGATTGGTATCTCTAATTAGGGCCATTACATTGTCATTTACTTTAGTGACTGGCTCCCCCCTCCCTTTTATATCTTTATTATTTATTTTGTGAAAATAAAAGTAGTATATTCACATTATATTAAGTTCAAACAATATAGACAGGTAAAAATTTTCTGTAGTCTCACTGACCAGTGTAGTTGCTATTTACTTACCTGTATTTTATTTTTTTTAATTGTTTATCAGTTACAAATGAAGATGTGTGCCTTAGAAGAAGAAAAGGTACTTATTAATTTTTAAATAATTTGGAGCATAGTTAAATGTATTTAATTATCATAATAGAAAGGAGTATTAGTAATAAAATAATGGAGATTATTGATTGCTTAGAATCTTGTAAACAGAACAGACCCAAGGAAATCGTGTTACCTGGCCCCTATAGTGTTGTAATTAAGAATACTGATATCTAGCAAGATTAGATGACTTGCTGAACGTTCCACTTTGAAGTGTCAGAGTTGCAACTACAACCCAGGTCTCTTTAGCCTCAAATTATTGCTCTTTCCATTCTATAATGTTTCTATTAATGGTAATATATTTTTAATGCTTTTCAGCATAATCACCTTCTTTAAAAAACATTAAAATGGTTTGAATCTGAGTGCATACCTACTGACAAAGAGGACACAACTCTGAAAAAACCTAGAAATTAATCTGGCACTAAGTATTTTCTCTGGCTATTTTATTATGTCAATGAACATCCCATTTAGAATATTAATAATTTATAGTTTTTTATTTTTAGCAAAAGACCCTCTTTTAGAATTTCTCACATGTCCTTATATTCATAAGACAAATATACTTGTATCTTACTAATTGGAATCTATTTATTCTAGCTGGATGAGTTAAATATTTAATTATATACTGTTTATAAGTTTAGGTAGAAAAGCTCTACTGATAAAAGATTTATTGTTGTAATAAGATTTTCCATTTCATGATAAATATAATCAGATAAAGCCCTTAGTGTAATTTTATGATATTTTAAAGATATTGAAACATAATTTGTAATGTGATACAAGTTTAAAGCTTGTAAAGTATTAGGTTTAAAGTAGAGCTTTTGGTTCTTGAGCGCTTATATTTCAATATGATTTACAGTGTCCTTTACAAAATGATTTACATTGGAAAGTATTGAAATGTAGTTTTTTATTTAAAGGGAAAATATCAACTTGCTACAGAAATAAAAGAGAAAGAAATAGAAGGATTGAAGGAAACATTAAAAGCATTACAGGTAAAATAACTTAGTATTGCTTAAAAAGTAATTTGGTATTTTAACATTGTACCAGTAAAACTCTATTAAACATGTAAGCTAGCAAAACAAAGTTGATAAAAACTCAGTTTTACATTAATGAAATATCTTTTAATGTACACATAATTTAATACTTTTTTCCTGAGAGGCTTGAATTACAAATTAGTAGGATTTTTATTTCATCATCTTTTATTTTAATATGAAATATGGAAATAACTTTTATTATTTTTTACAGAAATATAAGGAAATAGGTATATACTGATTTTAACACTTTGTAGAGGAAAACTAATTTGACACATACAACTGATTTATCCAAGGTCCTTAAAAGTTAAAATAAAATAACATTAAATGAGCCCTATGTGCTCATTTTCTGGAAGTACAAAGACTAGGAAAACACCTTTGCTCTCAAGTTGTTCACAGTCTCACAGAAAATACAGAGGTATACAACTAATGATTTATTCAATACATATTTATTGAAGGCCTACTGTATACCAAGTATTGATCTTAGTACTGAGGATACAGCAGTGAATAAAAAAGGACAAAAATCTCTGCCCTTGTGGAGCTTACATCCTAGTGGGGAAGACAAACAATAAAATGAAGTAAAAAAGCAAAATAAAGATTGTCGGGAAAGAATACATTCACATGATCTCAAAGTATCACCCCATAGATAACATTAATTACAAAGGGGGAAATGTATTTTTTCAGTGGAATAATTCTGATAGATACCACCTTAATCAAATGATCAAGTCCAGTAGTGTTAGTAGTGGGACAGCCTTTCCATGAATTAACTGTGTTATTATGCAATAAGGAGCACATAACATCTGTTTTCCTTCGCGTTTCCAAAAATCTTGACCCAAATCTAATTACGAAGAAACAATGAGACAAAATTATAATATGGGACATAAAACAAGACAACTGGTCTAAACTATTTTTTTTTAAAAATTCAATGTCCTTAAAAAAAAAAAAAGATGCGGAACTGTTCATCATTAAAAGAGACTAAAGAGATATAACAGCCAAGTACACAATATGAACCTTGATTGGATCCTGGGTCAGAGGAAAAAAAATAATAATAGCCTTTAAAAAATTGGGAGGACAATTTGGGAAATTTGAGTATGATTATCAATTACTGTTACTTTTCCTATGTACAATATTGGTATTGTAGTTCTGTAGGAGAAAGTCTTTATTCTTAGAAATGCATGATGAAGTATTTAGGGGTGAAGTTTCCTAATGGCTACAACTTCCTTTCAAATGATTCAGAAAAGAAAAAGTAAGTTTGTGTGTGTGTAAATACAAAGAGAAAGTGAATATGGAAAATGGTTAACAATTAGTCAATCTAGGAGAAACTGGAGATCATTCTTAGCAGAAAGGTATGAGTAAAGGCTTGGAGACATATATTTTTGGGTATATCTCTTATAATTTTTATAGGGATACAGTATATATACGTGTGTGTATGTATGTAGGAAGGAGCCTTGGTTGCACAATGGTTAAGCACTCAGCTGCTAACCAGAAGTTTGGCTGTTTTAACCCGCTCAGTGCTCTGCAGGAGAAAGACTTGGAGATCTGCTTCCGTAAAGATTACAGCCAAGAAAACCCTATAGGGCAGTTCTACTCTGTCCCATGGGGTTGCTATAAGTCAGAATTGACTTGACAGCACCCAACAAAAATATATGTATGTAGGAGTCCCTTGTGGTACAAATGGTTAATGCTTTTGGCTGCTAATTGCAAAGTTGGAAGCTCGAGTCCACCCAGAGGCACCTTGGAAGAAAGGCCTAGTGATCACCTTTAAAAAACATCAGCCATTGAAAACCCTGGAGCACAGTTCTACTTTGACATACAGAGTCAAACTCAACAGCAACTGGTTATATGTATGTATGTGAATATATATGTGTGTATACATATTTCTAGGTCCCTGGGTGGTGCATGTGGTTTGCAATAGTCTACTAATCTATAGGTTGGCTGTTTGAACCCACCCAGAAGTGCCACAAAAGAAAGGTGTGGCGATCTGCTTCCTGAAAGATTACAGCCAAGAAAACCCTATGAAGCAGTTCTACTCTGTAACACACGGGGTTGCCATGAGTCAGAATAACTCCATGGCAGCAGGTTTGGTTTTTTGGTTTACGTATTTAACTTATTACAATCTACTTCTATCAGCATTTTACTATTTTAGGTGGAATGTAGAAACCTTACCACTTTTAGGTCCCTTTATCCTCCCTCCTTTATGGTAAGGTTGTTTTAAGTATTACCTCTACATATATTGAACAACACATCATATTATAGTGTTCACTTTTAACTATCAAATATAATTTTTGAAAGTCAAGAGGAAAAGAATAGTCTATTATATTTACCCAGTTGTTTCATTCTTCATTCCTAGTATTCTGAGTTTCTTTCTGTTATTTTTCGCTTCCTGTCTGAAGAAATTCCTTTTGAGTTCTTTTAGAGCAAGTTTGCTGGTGGCAGATTTTCTTAGTTTTCTTCATCTGAGAATGTCTTTATTTCACCTTCATTCTTGAAGGATATTTTCTCTGGATAGAGAATCCTGTAATAAAGCAAGAAAACGTAGCAAAAGGCATAGAATTTGAAAAGGAAGAAGTAAAACTGTATTTTTTCGCAGATAAAATGACGTCTATGTAGAAAATCTGATAACATCTACAAAAAAGCTACTAGAGCTAATAAGCGAATTTAGCAAGATCACAGGGTACAAGATCAATATACAAAAGCCAACTGTGTTCCTGTATACTAGCAACACATAATCAGAAATTTAAATACAACTGTGATACAACTTATGATAGCACCAAAACATATGGAACCCTTGGGGATAAATTTAAGAGAAGATGTGTAATACCTATACACTGAAAATTATAAAATACTGGTGAGAAATTGAGAAAGACCCCTGGTAACCACTAGAAAACTTTGGTCTCTATGCATTTGCGTATTCTAGGTATTTCATATAAGTGAGATCATATAATATCTGTCCTTTTGTGATTGATGAACTTCACTCAGTGTAATGTTTTCAAGGTTCATCCATGTTGTAGTATGTATCAGCACTTCATTTCTCTTTATGGCTGAGTAATATTCCTTTGTACGTATATACCACATTTTGTTTGTCCGTTTATCTGTTGATGGACATTCAGGTTGTTTCCACCTTTTTACTTTTTTGTTGAGCTTTCAATGGCAGAGTTTTCAGAAATAGATCAAGTTTTTCTTCTGAGGCACCTCTGGGTGGACTCGAACCTCTAACTTTTCAGTTAGCAGCTGACTGCTAATTTAGCATTTATCTTTCCAGTGGGGAGTTGCTGGTGTCTAAAGTAGATAAATAATGGAATACCAATATAATCATATTATTTAGAGTTATGAAAATAACCACTAGAATAACTGAAAAAAAGATACGGTTACAAGGGGTTGTTGTGGGAGAGGGAAGGATAAGTCTGAGAGTGATGAGTAGTGGAACCAGGGGATATTGTTTTTCATTATAAGCCCTTCTGTGTTATAGATTTCATGTCCGTTTGGACTAATGTTTTTAAGAAAATTTAAAGTAAATAAAATATAAAAATACAAGTTATTAAATGATGATAAACGGAATTAGTCATTAAGCTCTTTAGCTGTAAAGTTTAGTGGTTCTTACTATATCATAGGTATCCAGTTTAAAATGATCCCAGTAGGTGAACTTTTTTTTCCTAATGATTTGGAGAAATTTAAAAATTGTTCTTATAAGTGAGAAAAAAAATTACCATTGTAGCTATTTTAAAAGGTGCTTTCTAATGTGTTTTCTTACAGTGTCTTAAACTAGGCATATTTTTTATCTTTTGTTTTGCCTAATTTCTTATTTCTTGGTAAATCTTTAAATGTATTATTTTTTTCCTGGTAAAAAATTGTTGATAAAGGAATGGGTTAATTTTATTATAAGTATTTTATTCTTTTAACATTCCTTCTTAAATTGTTTCATTTGCTGTCATTCATGCATGTTGTATTATCTGGAGAATGTAGAGTATTTCCAAAGCAAAAGAAATTCCTTCATATGGCTGACCCTTCTGTGCAAGAATTGTAGGGATTTGTTTTGCTTTGTCCGACCGATGACATAGTACAGGTGATATATATAGGGTACCTCATGATCTGCTGAACATGATACATGAACATTGTAGACAATAAAGGTTCTTGTGATTTTTTTTTTCCCTCTCAAGTTAAAGAAACTTAAAGTTCCTGTTCAGTTAAGAATCTGATATAAATCCACTAGGCAAAGTTCACACCCTTTTATCTAACGTGTAGCAACTTCTGTCCTTCCTTTACTTCTCTGGTTACTTACTTCCCTTCTCTTTCTTTTTTTAAGGTTATACCTACCATGTGCTAGGTACTAGGAAAAAGAAATAAAACAGTGCCTTCCCTTAAAGGAGCTCATAGCCTAGTGACTCTACTTACTGAATTTCAAAACAAAACAAACAGAAACAAAGACCACTACACATCAAAAAACTGAATTATTTTTGCTTTCATGGATGCTTTGAATGCCTACTGTTTCCATCTAAGATTGGCACCTTGTTATCTGAGTTCAAAGGGATGGGTTTAGAGCAGTGATATCTGCCTATATCTAAATTATGTGACAAACCTGTTTATGAAAACAGTATGCCTCCATTGCTGTCGAGTTGATTCCGACTCATAGCGACCCTTTAGGACAGAGTAGAACTGCCCCATAAAGTTTCCAAGGAGTGCCTGGTGGATTCGAACTGCCAACCTTTTGGTTAGCAACCGTAGCTCTTAACCACTACACCACCAGGGTTTCCAACAATATGCCTAGAGGGCTAAATAAAGATATTTAGCTGATTGTCCTATAGATTTAAAAAAAACTATCTCTGCCTATTAATGACTTATTATATGATCCTGTGGCAAGACACTTTGTCTTCCTGGGTTTCACTTTTCTTTTAAGTGAAATGAGGAAATTGAACTACATCAGCATTTTCCAAACAAGACCATTCCGTGAAGTAGTAACACAC